TTCCAAATTTTTTGTTTCGTTGCTCCCCGTGCATACAAAATTCCAAATTTTTCACCCAAAACTCGAGAAGCTTCTAATTCCGTGTAAGATATGCGTTCAAGCATGTGGTTGTCGATTAGTAAAGAAAATGCGTAATTTTCCTGATAATTATCACCATCATATTGAATGATAGTAGTAGTAAATTTTAAAAACGTGTGAGAAGTTGTACGAAACTGATTAATTCGGGTTCGGTAAACAGATTATAGGATTCTTTTACACTCTGACAAGTACCAGTCATTTTGGTATAAGTAGCCATGATACAAAATTATTTCTAATAAATAAAAATAAAATAAAATTCATTATATTATCTCTTTAATTATCACTGCAAAAGTCATTATTGCAGGGAAAAAAATGTAACATGAAATAGAAATTTTAAAATAAAATTGTAATTGTTGTTTTGACTGGTGTGATAGTTCTAGTGTTAAAATAGCAAGGAAGCAAGACAGAATTGGAAGAAAATATGCCAATTCGATAGGGCGTATCTGGCCCACGAGTTTAGAAATTGAGAATAGGCGTATTGCCTTGAAAAGGAAGATAACAGAGAAGTGGAAACAACAAATCTCCCAAGATCAGGGAGTTAAACTTTGGCGATAAAATTGGCAACTATTACACAGACCGGAGCTGTTAAAACCGTCTGGATTCTTAGACGCCACAAAATTAAGAACAAATACCTTCGGTACCAAGGTAGCGGTAAATAGAGCCAAGAAAGGCTCAGACATAATGTGCAGGTGTACAAGTAGAAACTTTGGGGCACATACTAGGCGTATGCATAGCAACCAAGGTAAAAAGAATCAAAAGACACAACGAAATTAGGGATAATTAGCAAAGATCCAAGACACTACACTGTGTTTAAAGATCCGGTCGTAAACGTCATAGAAGAACTATGAAAATCTGACATGATTATCAAAAATCATGACTACGTAGTCGACGTAACAGTACGGTATGAAGATAAAAACAACCTGAATAAAGCGTACAAAGATAAAGTTAATAAGTGTTTTACTAACACTTGCGCATTGAACTCTTCCTTAATTATCATCTCTTCATTAAAGGTAACAACAGCTATTTTCCATGATTTTTTCCGCAAGTAATTCGTGGATTCAATTTCATAACCAATCATAATCACTTACAATTGTAGTTTCTTTCTTTTTCGTTTTGGAACATTCTTATATGCGCCATTTCTAAATATTCGCTACACTTCCGGTTTTTGTTCGAATGATTTTTCATAAACTGTCACATCATATAACTGTATTCTGTTAAGGATATAATTGTTATCTTATTGTCTTTGATTGATTGTTTGATTACCTCTGTTCATGAATTCTTTAATATTTCGTCAATCAATTTGTTCGTATCGTTTCGTTAATCAACACTGATCCTCCGTTTTACACAAAAGTTCGTATATTTCGTTCTGCATGTTCATTCTGTTGCAGGACGATATTGATTTCTCATAGATAATCCTTTTTGATTTCAGAAAATCTTGAAACTCTTTTGACACGCACTCTTTTCCACTGTAAGTACGTGTACAAAATCAGAATTTCATATTTCTTGAATTCCTCTAGAACTTTCGATTTGTAGATGTAGAAAAAAAATAGTTCAAGAACTCGTGCAATTATCCTTAAACAACGCAAAATGAGTCAGAAAATTCCACGTTATACATCGATATAAATCGTTTCTTCTGATTTGTCAGCTCTTTAATCTGTTTAATTAGGAAATGCATCTTTTTGATTGTTTTCTTAATGTGTAAATTTTATAGAAGAAATCGGATTTATCTTCTATTTTTATCCCATGTATTGCATTTATTTGATCTTTTCATACAGCGGGTAAATAGACTTGCTTATTTTACACCGACGATTACGACGGTCGATCAACATTAGAAATTTTTTCGTCGCACTGTACACTGCACATACTTTGTTCGACGAAGTAAAGAATTTTATTAAAAAATTGCAAAACGCAACAGAAATTTTACACACCGATCGCAAAATTATCCACAAATGAAGATGCGATAAGGATCTTGATTCATTAATATCACTCTTCAATTCATTATCAACTATTTGCTCTGATTTTTAAAGATATGATTAAGTATTTTTGGTACATGACAAAAATTCAAAAGACAAGCTAAGCTTAAAGCCGAGAAAAAAGCTATTAAATTTGAGAAAGGGTAAAAGAAAACAGAACAGAAAGTATTGGACTAGAAAAACAATAGAAAAGAAACAATAGGAGCAAAAAATAGTAGAGAAAAGAATATCTGTAGAAAACAAGTTATAATCAGTTAAGTTTAGGTAATCTATAGCAAAACATAGATATAAACAAGGTATTGACGAATAAGGACTAAGAATTGCATATACATAATTAACCTTTAGCGGTCTTATGTCTGCTCTCAGCCACCAAAGCAAAGAATCATTCTGATTGTATAATTAACGAAGTCAAGTCAAGCTTCTGACGTATATATAATTCTTACTAAAATTTTACTAGTTTGTTTTAAGTGCGATTACACATTCTTTTTTTTTTAAATTAATTTTTTGAAAAATTAAATAAAGAATACATATAATGGCAAGAAGAAAGTTAGTGAGAGACGTGCGTCATGAAATTGAAAGTATAATTGACGATGATTTTTATCTTGAATTTTCCAATAATTTTTTCGACGAGGAAACGGTTGTTTTGAAAATGTATCTAGCAGAGACTCTGGTGGTGATATAATTCCAGTAACGAAACGTGTGAGACCATTAGATATTTCGAGTGACAGCGAAATAAAAAAAAATTATGGAAATGAGAATACTGCTATAAATGAATTTATAAAAATGAACTTTTCCACGGGCTCTAAGATTGTTGGACCTAATATTCCTTTATATTGTACAGAACCCATCGATTTTTTCAAACTATTTTTCATAGATGCATTGCTTGACAAAGTCCATTGTATCAGAAACAAATGGATATGCTAAAAATAAAATAGAAAAACTGAATTTATCTGAACGGTCTATTTGGAATATTAATTAGAATAATTGGGTTGATGTGACAAAAGATAAGTTGACTATGTTTTTTGGCGTAATCTTGAAGATTATGCCCATTGCTAATTTGACGGATTATTGTACTAAACAGCACGTTGGAAGCATATCCTTTTTCAGAGATATATTTGCATTATGTTACTAGTGTTTCTTTAACAAAAATTTAATCTGACCAGAAATACAACCTCAAAGGGTTAACACGTCGACTGCCAAGGCCCAATTGCATGAACTCTACTCCCAAGCCAAGCCAAAATTTATCATTACAAGTTGTCTTGTAGTTGATGTACGCGACACTATTTTGTAAACACTGATGATGACACGCAATACAAGACATTCATTATCGTACGAGCTGTTGCTACGGCCGGACGTTATAGTTTTGAAATCGCTATATATCACCGTGTCTTATTTACAAAATAATAAAGTAAATTTCTTTTCGAGCCATGGCCGGTAAAAGAAAACTTACTGAAGAAGAGCTAGAAGCATACACGGAGGAGTATTATGGTTTATTATCTGACTCAGAAGATGATTATATTCTTTCGAACGACTCAAATGAAAATTGATGAAGATGAAGTTCAACCGAATGCGGCGACAAATAACTAACTAGGTAAATGCCAGCACAAGATCCTCCACAATTCGATTTTTTTTGAAAAACCCGGATTGAAAATTGATTCTGCGAATTTCGGTGTTGAAAAACTGGCAGAACTTTCTTTCTCTCAAGACTCTCTGACGTTGATGGTTGAACAGACAAATTTATATGCAGCATATTGAAAGAGTGCAAAAAAGTGCCAAAATACATAATCGAATTGCAAAATAATATTATCCATAGCAAGATGTTTTACTCAAATTTGGTGACCTTGACACCACTATAAAGGAAAACTTGCTAAAAGAAGATGGTAACAACGAGCTTATTAGGTGAAGAGGGATAGAAATTCCGGTAAACAAATTGGGAGGAAAATCTACGAGTGCAAGTGAATAAAAATATCTATCCTGTTCAGACATTCTTCAGAATTTGTCAGTTCTGTTTTCCGATTTCCATACAGGGCGCAATGCTAGAGCTTCTGAAAGAGCTTTAGCGCTTATTACATCATGATTGACCAAATCTTCAGCAAGTCAATACAGTCACTGCAGCAAGCCTTAAGTAAGAACACAATCCAAGAGCTTTTTCTTTTACTCAAGAGCTATTTTGTACTCTTTCGTTTTCATGCGAAACTCCATAGGAACTTTGGAATGAAACTAGGCAGTAATTTTGCACTGCTCCTACCGAGGGGAAATTTTGTTTCTCTTTTGTTTCTCTCTCGGAAGTCTGTGATGGTAAAACGAATGGTATTTAACGATATTTAAAACGAGATATTTTCCTGTTTCATGCTTTGCAATAAAAATTCGATGGACACTACCAGGATGTAATACGTGTCCTGATGCAAAAATACTTCCACAAGCTTGAACACAATTCACGGGAATACGGAACTTTTTTAAACATGGAAGTACACCAAAACCGGTTAAAAATAACGATAACATTAAATTATACATATTGGCTTGTATTGAATGAAAAAATAATACAAGAAATAAAACAATGAAAAATATGGTAAATTAAAATTCTGTCCTGTCGAAGAATTTTAATATCAGAAAAGTTTCATACATATTGTTTTTCCATTAGATGCACTTTGCTTCCAGGAGATGAAATTCAACGATCGTCAATTCTTTTAGGCAAAATTTTCCTCGAAAAGTACGGACAAACAAAAGTAAACAGAATAGGCAATAGATGTAATGAACATAAATGAACTACAGATAATCTACGATTTCGAAGAAATATGAATATTATACGAGTTCTTTTTAGTTACCATGATCAATGGTAAAAAATAATTGGATTTTTTAGAATTGTTGTTACCAGATTTTATCTACGTTTCCTTTCCTTTGGATGCGATTGAATATGAAATATTTCCGATAAGACCAGCATTACGTGCTGTAACAAATTATTTCCAACAAACTTATCTTAACACATGTTTTGACACATTGCGATGCCATCGACACATCACGTTCTCTTGACCTAATTCCTATTGATCTTTTTTTTTTTTATCGAGTATTCTGAGACATACGACGCTTATCTTAAAAAACTTCAAACAAAACTAATAGAATCAATAGAAATAGCGAATAATTTGGACACCTCTATCAATAAAATACGCTGGAAAAAGTACTACAATAGGAAAGTCAACACGCAATAATTTTCTCTCGGCAAAGAAATATTCCCCCTACGCGAACCCAAGAAGAGTTCGAACATCTCGAACTGAGACTCGAGGATTTAAAATCCGAGTACGTTACATTTACAAAAATACAACCGGAATTGAATACGGTAGACGAGAATGGGAGTTTACGCGAGCGTATAGAAATCGAACATTATTATGTGCAGTGCATATGACTTGTTACAATCGACGTGTTATGTAACTGCCATCAAGGCAACCGCGAAATCGAATCAAGGTGTAACAGATTACTCGTCGCAGTCCACGATCCATATCGAAAATATAAAGTTGGACAACATCAATTTGCCAAGCGTACAATTCAGTAGACGCTACGAAGATTGGCCAGGGTTCGCGGATCAATTCAGAGCAACCATTCATGATAAATAATTAATTGACAATTCGCATCTAAGCGATTGCAGAAAGTTAACTTATCTACGCTCGTGTTTGCAAGGGGAACCCGCGAAAAGTATCGAGTCATTCGCGAACTCCTCGGCAATTATTTTTGTGCGTGGGAGTTACTAAATCGCTTGTATAACAAACTAGCCATCATTGCCGATCATTCGTTCACTATTCAATATGCCATCCGTATCTAGAGACAATCGTCGGGATTTCGTAGCTTTCTCACGCAATTCATATCACATTACCGCGCGACCAACCATCCGTAGACGGGGAGCTGAGATCGGTGCAGGTTTTTCCGATTTCAGGGATTCCTAAACAGGATCAAACACCTCGATGAAACTGATGATTCACAGTGGAGAAGATAGCGACCGCCTCCGGCAATCTCAAGGGGATGTACAAGCGCCAGAAAGGCACGTGTCAGTGTTACGAAACTGAACAGCGAAAAGGGACACCTCGTCCAGGAACGAAACGGCCGTAGAACACGAAAATCTAATTGTCAGGGCCCGCAACTACGAGCTGGAAAAAAAGCACCATCGCGAAGATGGAAACATACAACACTACCACATCAATCAGTTTCATGCAGATACAGAAGCTACCTTAAGCGCCATTCGATAAAGATACTGACCAATCAATGGTATTCAAGAGGTGAAGAAATTCGATCATGTACAACTTGCTTCAGAACCAAGCCAATACTTCGCATGTATCAAATAGGAAACCTTCCCATTGAGCGCGTAACGTTCATTTCTAGCCAGCGGGATAAATTATTACGGCACAGTCATAAAGGAAAAGAAACTGCGCAATACAAAGACAATAAAAGCTTATGTGGCCATTTTTGTGTGTGTCTCCATTTTTTGTGTGGTTCCATTTTCCTTGATTATTGATCGTAATATAATCGAACATATAAGGAAATGCACGAAAACAGAGGCATTTCGAGTGTGGGGAGCTAAATGACATCCAACGACTACAAAAGTGTATACATTTATTCAACTCCTGTATCCATGAGGCCAGAAATATAAACACATCACTACCATAGAATAAAAAATAGAGAAATCCAGTATTTTTCTCATACTATGAGCAGAAATTTAGAAAGAGAAGTTATAAAGTTTATTCGGTTTAATAACGAAGAAAGCAACGAAGCCAGCACTTACAAATCGATAAATTCGCCTTGATTTCTGAAATTTGACAAATTCATTGAGAATAGTCAAAACTGTTGTAAACCAAGATCATATCTATCTTATCATATAGATAAATAACTGTATCCAACAAAAGCAAGATGTAAATTTACACGATACATGCCCAATAAATCGGACAAAATTGGTATAAAATTCTTAGCTTCCGATGTCAATTTTCACACATATACATAGTAAAATATACAAATACATAATAAACGGCTTCTCATGTTAGTGAAAAGATGAAAAAAGAGAACTTCGGTTTTATTTTAGGAGTTTTTTTAGCCAGAAATTAGTTCTGAAAATTAGAACTGTCATTAAGAACAAAACTTTTGGCAAAAAAAACTATTCGGGGAAATAGAAGGAGCTACCAAAATTGGCGATACAAATAAAACACATATGAATCGTTTCTCAACATTATATATCAATGATATTACTAAATTCCCAAAAACGAACCTAGTATCCTTTCTTTTCTAAAATATTTCTAAAAAGTTCGAGTTAGCCGCATTTTGTGTTCGAATGTACAAATTTGAAAGCATTTCTTCGAAATATTTAATATTTAACATAAAGTTACTTTAAAATTCGAATAAAATAATTATTCATAAGCAATT